AGACTAGCAGTTGCAAGTCAATATGAACCAACAATTGTCAAATTCGCTCATAGTCGATTCTAGGGCCTAATTAGTTAAGATAGGACCGGTTTAAGTTAAGATTAGCAGTGGCAAATCTTACATATAAATTCTCAATTGGATGGAAGAAATGACTATAGTGCAAATTTTGTTGCTCGAGTTTGGATTTGAATTCGGTATTTGAAATGGGACAAATTGAATAGTGGAATGAGCTTTATTATCAAAGATTGTACAACATGGGTAATGACCTCTAAATGAAGCAAGAATTAGAATTAACTACAATGACTAATGCTAACTCTACAAAATTTGGGGCACAAATCAGATTAAGACTAGGCCTCTTTGCTATTTCTTTTGGGCCCAAAGCAAACCAAACCTGCAGAAAAAAAGAAGACCAGTCAGTTCTCAAGTGAGAGTCCAAGTCCATAGATTAAGCCCAAATCAAAGTAATTCAAGACTAGACAGAGCCCAGTATCGGCCCAGAAAAATTTATGACAGGCCCTGCCCAGATAAACGTCCAACAAACAGGCCCAGCTCGGCCCAACGAAATCGGACCATAACCCAACCGGCCTGTTTCGGCCTGACCACATCCTATCCACAGCCGACCTCAACAGGGGGCACACCTTTCAAAGTCGCAATAAAGAAATGGACGAATCATGTAGTGACACGTGGTGGTTTGGTTTGGTATAAGTGAGCTCTTCAGACTCTTTGAGGGGGGACGAATGGGAAGAAACCCACTAGAGATAGAACTACACAATTTCTTCTGTAGAGAAGGCTGAAGATCATAGAAGAAAGAGTGGTATTCTCGGACCAGACCAGGTTAGCTTTTCAACTTCAACTCTTTTGATAATGAAATTTTGCCCTTTGCTCAGGTTCTTTTGGTTCAAATTTCATCTCTCGTATTATTCCGCTAAACTAGCTAATGTTCACTCATTTTCCTTGAAGTGGTTTATGTTTGAGCAATAATTGTTGTTGTCTTCCCTCTACTAGTATTGATTATGTACACTACATAATAGTATTTCGTTTAAATTTAGCTACTCGTTTCCATTTTATCTTACTCGCCATCCAGTTGTAGTGATTAATCTTTCTTCCAAGTTTTCATAGATCTACCATTTCCGACATATATGTTTTCCTTTTTGCCAAGAAACATAGTTAATACCAAACATCATAATAGAAATTCCACATCCACCACACCACAATCAAACTCAGACAACTACAAAGTAACCAAATTGAGAGGGTCATAGAAACAATTCAAAACCATTTTAACATTTTCAAATCTTATAGATCAGTATAGATTTGGATCCGAAAATGACTATAGCATAATGAACTCCACATTCACAAATCAATTATCAACCATAGTTCAGTAAAACCACAAGCAATAAACGCATTTTAGAGTTCATAATCTACCCAAAATCAGGAGCAGAAGCAATGATTTATAGTTCCCAGTCTAGCAAACCACAGGCAGAGGCAGTGATTTGCAATGGTCAAAACTAACAAGTCGGGGTATGTTAATTAAATTTCCAGTTCAGAGAACCTTTCTTTTCTAACTTCAAAAGCATTTAGAGCTAGATCTAAAAACCACAGATCAAATCCACCCACATAAAAAATTCCAGAACACACACAACCATTGTTTTTTAGTATTCAGGTTCGCAAATCATTTATTCTGTAGCTATATGGCCGAGTTTTTTTTTTTCAAAACTTCTCAAGAGCAGTAGGAGACCTCACCTATGCCACTCCGCTCTCAAATCTGCAATAAATCAGGGTAGTTAGTCAGGATCGATAATCAGAATCCTTCAAATACAAAAACAAAACAAAAAATCAGAAAATAAAACTTACACAGATCACCTCTAAGCCTCTGGCGGTCTCTTTTTCCGCCACCACCGACCGTTTCTACCTCACCGCCGGTTACCAAATCGGCGATAGGCCTTTTTCTTCCTCCTCACCGAAACCAAAACCCAGAAACCCTCGATTCAAAGAGAAAAAGGGAAGGTCAGAATCCTATAAAAAAAAACCAAAAGTCCAAAGAAAAGCAACATGCATGTCGAGTTTTTACCTTGATCGATTTCCCCCTTCACGGTCGATTAGGATTCCCAGCTAGACACGAGAGCGACGGCGGATTGAGAGGGTAAAAGTAGATAGCGACGGTTTTGGAGAGAGGAGGCTAGGGTTTCGGTCTGTGGAGAAGAGAGGGATGAGGGAGGCGGCTAGGGTTCTCTGGAGAAGATGAGGACGAGTGAGAGAGAGGCGGAGGGTGAGATCGGCTAGGGTTTCGTTTTTTTTCTCTAAGAGTGAAGAAGAGAGGCGAGAGTTAGAGGAGTGAGAGAGAACGAGGAGAGATAGAGAGCAGCCGCCGCTAGGGTTTGGTTTCGCTTTAAGGAGAGGCTTATATACCTCAAATTTTAAAATGACCAAATTGACCCTAGGGTTTTCAGCTTATTACGCGGCCTTGCCACCGCGTTTTTGCGCACTTACCAAATTGCCCTTCCCCCTTCTCAGCTTTAAAACGAGATAAACAAAAAAAGCGTTGTCAGTGCATTTCGAACCGTTGTCCTCGAGGTCAAACACAATCAAGGTCTGACAACTTAACCAGTTGACCTGCTGGCCCATTATGTGTTGACATTGTCATCCCGTATAATTTTATTTGTTTTAAAATCCTTAATACGAAATGCGGAATTGCGGATTAAGTTTATCTCGTTTCTTTCTAATACATCTCAACTCCTCTTAATAAACGAAATCCTTATATTATCTTTTACAATTTCATAATATCAACTTAAATCTTATTAACAATAAATTTTGATACGAGAACCACGATCAGCGGAACGTGGTAATAATATTATTTAAAATTATCAAAGTCTAACGAACTACGTGGACTTTGATCCCGTCTAACGGGTACGTAGGCAACCAATAAGGTTCGAGTCCAACTAACCAATTAACTTTATCGTTTACGTCAGTGGACGTACAATTAAATTACCATTAATACGATTTAATTTTTTTTAATGGTCCAGTGGGACCCTAAGATTACAAAATTGTTACTAAAATACACCCAACTCATATAAAAACTTATCGACTTAAGTAGTACCGATTTAGGGCGTTGTGGGGGTGTTGCTTAACTTCCCCACACGTAACCGTACTCCCGAACCCAGAACTTTATTTTCGCAGACCATGCCTCGGTTCTGACACTAAGGTTAGAGCCGATTTGAAGAGTGTTCGATCCACTCCAAGTAAGATCGATGGCGACTCCCAAAAATGCCGACGCGACGACATCGGACCCCCCGGACGGGACGGTTGCGACAGATATCATCCATGATCCAACCCTATGGTGGATGATATCATTCCATATTGGACATCGTCCAATTTTTAAAGTGTAATCTCATTCTACATGGATATCGTCCAATCTTATAGTTGATAATTATCCCATGTCGGGGATACTATCTCAAATACTAGATAAATAGTGGTACCCTATGACAAGGGTATCATCTATGTTGTGGTAGGATGACCATTTCGCCGTATGGTTACCACCAATGGTATGTTGTCGTCTTGAGCAATATAGATACCATTCAAGTAATTAATTATTAGACGTGTGCATGGTTACCATCTAATCAATTCATGGTGATGTGTCAAGGGTTTGTAATTACTTAACAGAAGCCGTAACCAACACCGAGGGATGCTCGATTTGAAGTTTGTGAGTGCTACGTGGAGTTAATATTTGAGAGAGAGAGAGAGAGAGAGAGAGAGAGAGAGAGAGAGGTTAGAGGATAATGTACAACAAAACTCGAAGCAAGCGTCTAGAAGAGTGACTCGCAAATCAAATCACAAAAGGTCTCGTCAAATCTTTTCTTTCCCTCACTAAAATGGTTGTCGTAGCAATTGCACCATAGACCTTCTACAAGTATTCAATGTAGTTGTAGCTCTCAAAATCTCCATATATAAGATAGCAGAGATAATAATAAGCAGATTCCTTCAATAATGTACGTACCGAACACCCTCGTTCAAACAATGTTTGAAGAAATTTGAACTAATTAACATTATTTTTTTTCTTGAAGACATGGTTCTTTGATGAGACCAAAATTTCATCAAAAAACGAGTTGTAATGTGCATTCTATAACAAGTGGTATATAATCGTTCAACCACGTGTTTAACAGTGGTTAAGAATGTCACCAAAAGAGAGATATCTCCAAGGTGCTTAGAAACACGTGAGAAGAAGACAAACAAAAATTAAATCCCATGTTGGGAAGTCAAGATGGTAGGTGATTGAGAGGATCGGCCGGTGGCTGGGCGATTGTATGAAGAGATGCCGCCATGCAAACTCCCGACTTTGTCAACGTCGAGTAGTGCAGATGGGAAACACAGCCATGTGAGGTCTTCTTCCTTCTCTCTCAATCACTAGCTAGCTCGTCCCCATTTGGAATTTGGGCTGGCCGGCCACCACCAGGCATCCTCCTGCCCCAGCCCAGCCCAACCCAACCCAACTGTCCCTTCCAATTGGTTCATGAAAATGACCCAAAAAACACTCCCTTCTCCACACTCCACATCGTAGTGAGCCTAGCCATGGGCCGAGCTGTCCACCGAAACCCCAAACAATTCCGAAGTCTTATCATTTGTTTCTTTCAAAAAGTTACAACCTAACTGTTTGTTAGTAGATGATATATGATTCACGATTAGACCCTATTCTAACGACTCAAAGTATTGGTACCAATGGGTTTTTGACATGGTATCACAGTTTTCAGTGACCAAATAAACGGTCTCATGTTCGAATCCTAATGACACCCATTTGTTCTGTGAAGCCCATGGTGTCTAGACATGTGCAAACTTCAACCCCCATATGTGGTGGCTTTTCGTTTGGGAGTGTGTTAGTAAATAATATATGATTCATGATTGAACATCTTCGAACAACTCGAGTTATTCATCCTTGTCTTACTCATAAGGGTTTGAAGTTTGTACATATTCAAATATCAAATGCTTAATAATATATCTTATATCACGTGCTAATAACGAGTGCCGCATGTAATTCTCGATGGAAATTCCACAATCACAAATGAGTGTCGACCAAACCGACAATGTCCCATGAATTCTATAGCCAGAGTTAAGCCGACAATGCTTGCTACAAATAAGTTGATTCGATAACTCGAATGAGGCATTTTAGTGTGCTTTATAGTATTGCTACTATAAAACATTTACAGCCATTAGATCATGTTCAAACTATATAAACCATTAGATTATATTTAAATTCTTAATATATTATTTTATTTGTGTGTGGATAACCGGTACAACCGGTTGTCTTCTCACCAATTAAACGAAAGCATCCGGCTCATCGGCGACCTGAACCCCTGACTCGCCTGAGACTCCGCCACCGCCGACGACGACGGCTCTTCCCCGAAATTCCTCCCCGGCACTTCGATCCCCAACTCCCCCCTCGATTTCCGCCCGCCGGCCGATGTGGAAAGCTCCAACATCTCGATCGCCGAAAATTAGAACGAATTGAAACTAAATCCCTAAAATTAGAATGAATTGAAACTTTCAATCCGGAGACTCTGTGTGTGATCTTATCAGCTTCTCAATCTCCTTCTTCTACTTTCCGATTTCAATGGCTGCCAGTAAGAGTTACTTAGCCAGGCAGAACTACCGATTCCTCGATCAGAACCACCACCCCCACCACCTCCACAGCCACCACCACCACGACTTCGAACTCGACGAGTCCGACGTCTACGACCGCCACAGCCACCTCCCTGACTCGCCGGAGTTCCGGAAGGTCGGGTCCAGGATCAACAAGAAGTCAACGGCGGCAGCGGCATAGTCCTAGTGTAATGTAAGTAATAGAATTTTCACTCTATTTTAAGTCTTGGAATGAACATTATTCATTAAAATATATAATTATTAATTATATATTTATAAAAAATAATATAATTATTAACGCTCTGTGCACGCTCTCAATTTTGTGTTCTTGAAAAATAAACGCTCTTGCGCTCTCGCTCCCGCTCTCGCTCTCGCTCCCGCTCCGCGAACTGGTTACCTAATCCTGGCGAGGCAGATGGCAAGGACGAGGATCGCGTCCTTCTCCGTCCACGAAGGCGTGGGGAGGACTTTGAAAGGGAGGGATCTGAGTAGGGTCCGAAATGCAATTTGGGAGAAAACTGGGTTCCAAGACTGAAATTTTCCATTTCCCTTTTTTTTTTGGAACTAATTAGAGGGGGAATAATTATTAACTTGCATTTTAATTGTTTTCAACATCTCGATTTCCTCAATGATCTATTTTTCTTGTTCACATAGGAAGTTGATGGATGATCAGCTTGATTAAGTTGTACCTACACTTTCTAACAAATCCTTTATGGGACAACTAAAAATTATACCTATACTAATGGTACAACCTTAAGTTGTGCCTACACTTTCTCAAAATTCTTTTATGGTACAACCCGAACTTGTACCTATACCATGGTACAACTTTAAGTTGTACCTACACTTTCTAACAAATCCCTTTGTGGTACAACTAAAAATTGTACCTATACTAATGGTACAACTTTAAGTTGTACCTACACTTTCTAATAAATCCCTTTATGGTACAACCCAAAATTGTACCTATACTAATGGTACAACTTTTAGTTGTACCTACACTTTCTCCAAATCCTTCTATGGTACAACTCAAACTTGTACCTATACCATGGTACAACATTAAGTTGTACCTACACTTTCTAACAAATCCCTTTATGGTACAACTAAAAATTGTACCTATACTAATGGTACAACCTTAAGTTGTACCTACACTTTCTCAAAATTCTTTTATGGTACAACCCAAACTTGTACCTATACAATGGTACAACTTTAAGTTGTACCTACACTTTCTAACACATCCTTTTATGGTACAACTCAAAATTGTACCTATACTAATGGTACAACTTTAAATTGTACCTACACTTTCTAATAAATCTCTTTATGGTACAACTCAAAATTGTACATATACTAATGGTACAACCTTAAGTTGTACCTACACTTTCTCAAAATCCTTCTATGGTACAACCTAAACTTGTACCTATACCATGGTACAACTTTAAGTTGTACCTACACTTCCTAAAAATCCTTCTATGGTACAACTTTAAGTTGTACCTACACTTTCTAACAAATCCCTTATGGTACAACTAAAAATTGTACCTATACTAATGGTACAACCTTAAGTTGTACCTACACTTTCTCAAAATTCTTTTATGGTACAACCCGAACTTGTACCTATACCATGGTACAACTTTAAGTTGTACCTACACTTTCTAACAAATCCCTTTATGGTACAACTAAAAATTGTACCTATACTAATGGTACAACTTTAAGTTGTACCTACACTTTCTCAAAATTCTTTTATGGTACAACCCGAACTTGTACCTATACCATGGTACAACTTTAAGTTGTACCTACACTTTCTAACAAATCCCTTTATGGTACAACTAAAAATTGTACCTATACTAATGGTACAACTTTAAGTTGTACCTACACTTTGTGAAACAAATTCTTCAATGGTACAGCTGAAACTTGTACCTATACTATATGGTACAACTCTAATTTGTACCTACACTTGTATACATTGATTCATTATTTACAAGATTGCCATTAATGATGTGGGACCAGTCATTTAGTGGGTTACCTCCTCAACAGGTCACCTTTTTTTTTTTGTTTTTTATAGCATGGGTGCTATAGAGCACACTAGAAGGGCTCAACTCGAATTGATAAAAAGAAGTTTCATAATGAACCTTAAATCATTACCTTACAACAACGGTGTGCGTTCATGGACATGATCTTTCCTAGGTTTGAATGAACTCTGACTCACGTCATTAAAAGTAATAAACCCTCGATTCGTATAAAAATTTTGAAGAACCCTTTCACTTGAACTAGTAACCGAACCAAATCAAATGTCGTTCCAATCAAACTATTCCATGATATGGGAGAATCATCCGGTTAGCTTCTCATATATGTAACCTCGACGTTTACATCATCCGCAAACTTACAGAATCCAAAACCAAACAGACCAAGATCCTGATCTCCTGTACTTTTGGGTTTAGGATACGGTCAGTAACCAATGATTATTGACCTATGAGTAACTAAATCTGGACCTTTAGGTCTAAGTGGGCCAAGAAAATTCAGATCTAAGGGTTGTCAATTAAATACATTTTATTTTCCCTAATTTTCATAATCGACTCTTACCTTCTTCATTTTAACTCGGATTTCAAATTTTTTTTTGTACACATGGAACGAGTTCGTTGTGCTCTATAAAATGAGATCAATTTTCAATATATTTCGATAAGCTTTTTTTTACCAACTAGATACCATATGGTAAATTCTTCGTTTTAAGTCGTTTTTGAAAACGTTTGCTCAGAATGAACGAGTTCATCATGATCTATTGAATCTACAAATTTCTGGGTGAAAAACATACTGGACAAAAAATTACCATACTTTACCATTATGGTATGTGGGTGGTAACTTGTGGTAAACAATGATGAAAGTCGTAAATGACAGTTAGTATACTTCTACTATCATGTATTCAACCTTCTTACCATATTGGTATGTTCATACCATCATGGTACGCTTTCTTACCATATGGTATTAAATACGAGCATACCATATGTAATGACTAGTAAAAAATTATATAATTTTTTTGTTATAAATATATCAAAGTGAATATATCATTTTAAAGAGCACATTTAATCTGATTTATCTGTGAAAAAAATTAAATTTTGACTTAAAACGAGAGAGAAATCGTCCGTTAAAGATTAATGGGGAAAAGATAAAAGACTTTTCAAAGATAAAAGATAAACGAGAGAAAAAAATTAAATTTTGACTTAAAACGAGAGAGAATGCTGATGTCATGCAGATGTGGACAAATTACTGATGGTTACTCACCATATGAGTTACTGACCTTATCCGCTCTCGTACTTTTGTTCCTTATTTAATTTCAATTTTCACTATTATAAAAAAAAATAAAGGCAGCCGGGGACACATTGATATAGTTGACACTCCTCGTTTCCATCACGGCCGGCCGGCCTGCTAATAGATCGATCTTTTGGTCTGCTCCGACATCGACATGGTCAGCGGGCGGCCACCGGCTACGTACGGCACGTGACATCTACATAATTGCTGAAGAGCGCATCACCATCGTCGATCGCTTCGTACTTGGTACCGAAAGTCAGAAACAAGTTTGCGGTACATACATTCGTAAAAAAAAAAAAAAAAAAAGTTTGCGGTACATACATACGTATGTAGTTTCTGAGGAAGACGAAATATAATTAGGGTTTGTGCCATTATATGTCCTATAATCATCAGGACCTTGGGTATTGTTATCATGGGACTAATAATATAATGGATTATAGTATATGAACATGTGTCCTATGGTATACATATGATCATGTTTATTACTAATTCGATTAAGTTGACACGTGAAAATCCTAGGTGAAAGGCTACCTAGCTCACACCCTAATTAAGAAGTTCTTCGAACATTTGAGATTTCGTTATGGTATACATATGCGTCTTTAATTCATCAATTCACAGACGTTGAATTCGAAGTTTTGTTAAATAATGAAAATGCGTCGCTCAATCATTAACTATTTTATCCAAATTATTTTCTAAAGAATGATATATTTTGAGGACTGTAGCAAGTCACTCAGCTACTTTCTGTATTATTCTTCATGACTTTATTACGAAGACTTGCAAAGTCACCATGATTTAGAGAAAATGATTAATCATTTCCAGAAAACGATTGACTGTATTATTCTTCAAATAGAAAGATCAACCGGTTGGTCAATTATCATTATTGGCGTTAAAACATAATTTCACCACTAAAACGATTTAGAGTAGAGTAATTTGTGGACTATTGTGAAGTGTATTTAGATTGAGCATTATTATGGACCATTAATTTGTTTTTGTACAACTACGGTTGTGGATTGAATTAGCAAATGTCTAATGTTGTTTGTGAAATTTTTGAATTGTGAACATTGTGTTTCCTCCATCCACTCGACCTGCACAACATAAAATCGTCTGAAACAACCACGGTACGGGATACGGTGACATTGTCAGATTCACAACCAAGGGTATTTTGGGTATGAAAAAAAGGAATATATTAATTACCTTTTTCGTATTAATTATATTGGGAATTAAAAACCCATATTAAATACAATTTTTTTTGAAATTTAAATCCTATACATTAATATCTCTATCTATCTCTCTCTCTCTTCCTTTCTCCGGCGACCACTCTGCATCGACGGACAAAAAATTTTCTCCGGCGAATTCTCTCCGGCAGACTCCCTCCGGCAATCTGAAAAAATGTACCAGTGTGTTAAAAAGTGTACCAATCCATTAGTCTACTGGTAATTAATATACCAGTGCGTTAAAAAATGTACCAGTACTAATGGTATGCTACCAGTGCGTTAAAAAATGTACCAGTACTAGTGGTAGGCTACCAGTACGGCGCTACCACTACCATATTGTATCGTACCACTAGCACTGGTAGCGCTACCACTAGCATTGATAACGGTACCAATAGAGAATAACACAAAAAAACATATGATAGTGGTATCAGATGATAGTTGTACCAGATGATAGGGGAGCCACAGGTACGTACCAGTGAGTAGTGGTAGCGTACCAGTAGCGCTACCAGTGGTATTGGTACCCTACCAGTGCTCACTGGTACATACCAGTAGAGACTAAAACAAAAATCAGATCTCGAAAAAAATAGGGATGAGGAAAGAGGGAGGCAGGGAAGAGTCTTGACCTCGCGGCGGTGGCGGCGTAAAAATGACGGCGGGATCAGCGTGGCACGACGGTGAGCTTAGGGGTGACGGGGGCAGCGTATCGTGGTGGGGACAGTGGGCGCGGCAGGGCGGCGGGGACAGCAGGCGCGGCAGGGCGGCGAGGACAGCCGGCGCGGCGGAGGTCAGGGGTGGCGGTGGGCATGGGAGAGGAAGAGGGAGATGCGGCGGCAGCAACGTCCGCGGAAGAAAGGGAGGAAGGGAAGAAGGAGGTGGTGAACGGCTGTGAAGTTGGCATGAGTTAGATTAGGGTTTTATTATTTTATATGGGAGGAAAAATGCTTGGGTGTGGTAAGTTTTTTTCATCCAAAAAACACCCTTCTTTTCATCTCAACCTTCAATTTAAAAATAACAGGAGAGAAACAAGAGAGATAATACATCTAATGGCTATAAAGTGGGTTGTCAAACCCACAACCCCTTAACGAATTGTCACCATAACTCGTCCCAATAACCACCAGACTTGTTGATTAGCATCTTCAGTTAAAAGCGGTCGATCTATACGAAAAGGCGTAAATTTCCTATAGGTATGCGTCCCGTCAACTCATTAATTACTAGTTAGCTTCCCATCACCTAATTAAGATGATAACATGCATCTCAGGAGGTTCGATTATGGCTGGGCTCCTGGGTAACAAGGAGGACCCAAACCCAACCATACTGTCTGCTTTGTATCTAAAACCCAAAATCGAATTACAAAGGAACATTGAATATTTCACCTCAGAAAAGGAACAATGGAAATAGATAGGTGAACAATAAATTGATATCCTGTTGACATGCAAGAGTGAAGCCACAAGTCAATAAAATTTGGGCATGATGAGATTTCGAGATGGAACAGCCATGTGATTAGGTTTCCAACTCTTTCATTTCATAATTTTGTCACTTTGTGTGCATTAATCCATTTCATTTTCATTTTGGGACAACTAATCATCTGAATTTTATTCATATTTTATTGTGTACTCTTGTAGAAGGATGCCTCGAGTATTTTAGCTCACTAAAATTTTGATTTTGGCTACCTTAAAACTTTGAAAATGTAGTATGTCAAGATGGACTGAAAAAGAACACTAATGACTCATTGTGTCTTCAATTTTATGGTTCAGACAATGACGATATTAAATATGTTAAATGAATTCAAATTTCGTGGCAGGTGAAATCTTTATGTTTTAAATCGAGTCGGAGTTGTCTAGTATAAATCCAATTAGCTAATCAATCATTCACTAGGAAACAAAAAATCATTAATGGCATTATTAGTTAGCAAACATTTAGTCGCTATTAAATGCTAATTGAGCTTTGATTTGAGGACAAAATCAAAGAGGGCCCATGCATGCATACTGCCTATCACGTGATTTTCTTTTGGAACCATATATTAACATCTTGATTTGATAAATAAATAAATAAATAACAATATTTCATCAGCTTATCTGAAAATGATCAATTTTCTGGCCTCAATCCATCGGCTTTTCCCCTCCATAACTTAAATGCTTGGTTACTAATTCGTAGTGTTATTATAATATTAGTAGCCACCAAATCAATTCCAGATACGACAATTTTGTGGTTGACTAATACGATGTGTTAGCTAGTTCATAGACAGGAGAGAGGGCGAGTTTTACTATAATTCGAGGAGATACATGTTAAAAAAGAGTATGTGAATTATTTATAGTACTTCTCCATGTGATCTAATCCTAATCCAATATGGTAGAGGAAAATGGCTACAAATTCCAGGCCCAGAAATAACAAGACCCTCGTGACTTACAGTCGTAGTCAAATAGTTTGATTCAAGTCATATCAACATAAGCCATGAGGCGGAGCATGTTATGAAATAATCGTGTTGAGATGACAATAACCACATTCCATTTCAGTACTTGGACGTGGATGCATGGTGGTTGGCTTTCCGACTCCGATTTTGTAACATCCCTTAAGAGATGTCTCTTCAATTATTTTGAAGTGTTTTTATGAGTTTATCGAATACTTATTAAGAAATGAGGGTGAAAAAAAAAAACACTGTATGAATTAGTAGATTTCAAAATCTTGTTAAACGTTTTATGAATTGTGCGACTTTTAATCACGATAATCAAGTCAAATTTTGAAATCCCTAATAGGACATGAACTTTTGGGGGGGGGGGGGGGGGGACATTTTGAAATTGGTCACACACTAAAACTTTTTTTGTCGTTTTGCCTATCCAACTTGATTTATCTACTCTTCACAACCCAATCACCCAAACCATCCTTTGAATCTAATTCCAGATTCCAGATCTCTAAATTTGTTTCTAGGAAAATAGCGTACACATATCTCGTTAATAATATATATTTAAAAAAAAAACAAAAGGAAACCCATTTGGAGATTGGAGATGTCATTTCTTGTCTAACTGTCTAAGGCTAGCTAGCTAGCACTTTCATGCTAAGACACTAGTGAGACATCGACAATGACGGTTTCACAAAACCCTACAAGTTTGGCCTTGGCCTCTAGTTTTTGTATAGAACTAGCTACCAAAGCAAATCCAAACGAAGAAGAAGAAGTATCAGACGAAAATGTACCAGATGTGCAATTGAAACCCTAACTTAACTTTCTCATTGATGATTGTGTTTCTTATATACAGTGATCGATCAATAGAAGACAAACAGCTCTTGGCTGTGTTTACAGACTGTGAAAAGAGAGGATGCAGAGTTTGGAGGGAACAGAAAACAAAAGGGTGAAAGAGACGTTGGAGTGCTACGACGATGTTCTGCTGAGGATGTTCTCCATTGTGCGAGACGGCACCGTTGCAGTTGAAGAACAGGAGGCCTTTCCCGAGACGACGTCGCTCCACGGAATTGGCTTAGTAGCCGTTGCGATTTGGGGCGAAAATTTAACATTTTCGTATGATACCCCCCCCCCCTAGGGGTGGCTATACGGTCCGGTCCGGTTAAATTGGCCTAAATTGATCCGGTCCAGTCCGGTCTTTTTGAAAATATAAGGACCGAAGATTGGATTGGATACAGTCTGGTCTTGATCCGGTCCGGTCCCAATTCGGTCTTGATTTTACATTGAGATTGTGGGATTTGAGTGGCCTAAGGCCTTAAAGGGTGAGGAGTTGGTTAAGTTTTGTACTAAATGCAAAGGTTTGTGACCGTTTATGCAAATTACCCTTAAGTTTTGGGTGTTGAGCTCTCTTATCCGGTTTTTTTACCTCAAATCTAGCCCAAAGATTGGATTGGATTGTTTACTATCCAGTCCTGATCCGGTCTCGGTCCGGATTATACGGTCCGGTTTCCGGTTTTTAATCCGGTCCCGGTCAAAATAGCCACCCCTACCCCCTCCCCCCTGGCAAGCTGGTGGGCACAGATTGTGCACACCAAGCTTGGAGAGGAGACTAGAGAAGATTGTTGGTGGGAGGAGGCCTATCACGCATCAATTGGTATCAGAGCCCGGTTTCGACAAAGAACCAAGACAGATGCCTCCTAAGAAGAACAGCGCTGCCTCGCAGGACGTGGGCGACGACGACGGCAGCAACCAGGCGGGCTGGGAGCTGGCGGAGGTGAGGACGAGAGCAGAAGCCCTCGATCGTCGCATCCGCGCGACTGAGGAGGAACTCGGCCCTATTAAGAGCACGACTGATAATCTGGAAAGAGGCCAGACGGCGCTGCAGGTTGTTGTGGAGGAAATCCGGACGGATTCTCAGACAGGGTATAAAACCCTAGCGCAACGGCAAGCCGAGGCCGACGCGAAGCTCGATCGCATCAACCGTGGTCAGGACGAGCTCCGGGCGAGCAACGATGGGATCTGGGCGACTATCGCGCAGCTCGCGGAGATGATTGCAGGGATGGGGAGTCGCGAGCCAGCTAGACGGACCGTCGATCTAATTGTGGCAGGCGATAAGCTCAAGGGAACGTTGGCGGCGACCGAGGAAAAGAAGGGAAACTCATCCCCACTGCCTGTTACCCCGCAAACCACGTCACCTCGAGGAGCGCAGGGCGGCGAGCTACTGAAAACTCGGGACCATGCGATCCAGGCCTTGAGCGGCGCGTGGGGAAGCTTAGCGATGGACACCGGAGACTACCAACCACCGTCGGGATTGCCGATAGGCATAGGTGGGGCGGTCACTCGGAGCGCCGGAGGAGCAGGGACAGGGGCGAGCGGCTCGGGACCCGCCGACCAGGGCATGATGGGCCAAGGGAGCTCAGCGGGTTCGGCGGAGCAGATGCAGACGGGGCGGGTGGAGATCGGACCTAGGGATGGGGTCCGTTCGAGGCCGGGTCGAACCGCAAAACCAAGAAGCAGGGAGGGGCTGACCAGGGCGAGCTGAGCGGAGGGAACCGAGGAGCTATGGGGCAGGGGCGATCAGAGGCGAGAGGAGAAGTTGCGGAGGCTCTGTTCAAAGGGCGATAGTCTACTATTGAGTTCCCACGCTTCACTTGTCATGAGGATCCATCTGACTGGATGTCGAGGGTGGAGAAGTACTTCAAGTATCAGGGAATTTCTGAGGAACAAAAGGTGGCCTTGGCTTCGTTCCACTTAGAAGATGATGCCAACCAATTGGTTATGTGGTTGGAAGATGAGTTCGAGCAGAGTGGGAAGGAGATGTGGTGGGAGGACTTTCGTGAGGAGTTCTGGAAAAGGTATGGGGCCTCGGAGAAAGCTGCGGGTCATGAGGCGCTGGCAAAGATCAAACAAACATTGACTGTGGAAGATTACCAACAAACGTTTGAAAAAAAAACTTTATCGTTGCCGTGGGTGGGGGAAGAAGGCGATCATGGGTACCTACATGGGAGGGCTAAAGCCGGAAATTTCGGCCTACATCCGCGCCTTTAATCCGAAAAATACCGGGGATGGGTATCGGTTGGCCAAGATTCGAGAAGAGGAGATACGGGTCGAAAAAGTTGAGATGGGAGCTGCTACCCGAGGAACGTCCGCGGCGCCAAAGGCGAGCTTCGGCGCCCCCCCCCCCCCCCCCACCTGCTGCTGTAGCCGCGCTAGGGCCGCCGCCTTTGGACGGACGAGGACCACCACTGCCCACCTGCCGAGTCATTCGCAACTTAACACTGGAGGAGGCTGCCTGGCGCAGGAGAGATGGGCTCTGCTACAACTGTGATGAACGATTCACCTATGGTCATCGTTATGCTAATAACCATGTGTTCGTCATGATCGGGGATTTCGGGACTAAATCGGTTGGGGAGGACGGAGTCGAGCTGTAGCCTCGGGACGAGGCTTTCGAAAGGAGGGAGGATTGATGCATTTGTGCGGGTCGGGCAGCAGAGGGTAGAGTCAGCCTACCCATTATTATATTTATTTGAATATTCATTCGGTTTATTGGTTTATTTTCGGATTAGTATTCGGACTATTATTCTTGTTTAGTAAGTAATTCGAGTGAGAGTTGGACTAGGTTAGGGTTACCATGTTTAACGATAATTAGGTTTATGGAAGCTCTCCTATAAATATGTACTTAACCTTGCGTTTTATTGATAGAAGAAGAATAAACCCCAATATTTTCAGTTTCTTTTAGTTTTCGTAATTCTAGTTCCCGACGCGTGAGGCTGTCACGCGTCACCGCATTTCATTAGAAATTAGATATCGTAAAAAGGATAATGATTTTATATTTTTTTTTACAATGTCAATTGTTCACGATGGTGTTTTAATTTAGCGAATGCATCAATAATGGATTCTACATCCATACCAATAGTATGCTCTGTTTCAAATAAAATACTGGAGCAACCGGCGAGTAATTCATCACTCATTTTGTTGCGCTAATAAGTTTTCATATGTTTCATTGCTGATATGGTTCTCGCCGTAGTAGCTGTGGAAACGGACAACGTCAACACTAAAATCAATCGACTAATCAATTTCCATTATGTGACCATCCCTATATCCAACAACTGCTCTATTAAATTTTCAATGGAATAAATCTCATATTTCTTTTATTAGTCTTTTACGCTTTAGACTATTAGAATTTTAGGTTCCGTTGTTTTTGTTTAGACGAAAATCTTTGGGGCTAGAATTTATAAGCTAAATTTAGAGTAGTTATTTGAATATGTTCGTACGAATTATTTTTCTAGTTACGCACAATCTTATTATAAAATAACATTGAACCGAATGTCTAAAATCAAAAAATTCATAAGGACTATACTAACTTTGAATCCAGAGGAGGGCTGGGTCGGGGCCTGGGTTGGCCACCCCCTGGATCCGCCAATGGCGTTAGGGGTGTAAGCTTTGATCTGAAGACCGACTGACTCATCCCGTCCTTGAGGGTCGAAACGGGTCAGTTTGTCTACAGGGTCAGATTAGGGATGGGTCATTTGTTTACCTTGTAAGGTTCGGGACGGATTGGGACAACTTAGGGACGAGTCACTTTTTGACCCTGTGACCCTAGCAACAATTAGTGATATGAATTCCTCGTACCAACACATGGGACCTATTTGCATAGTTGTAAAAGTTTAAATACTATATTGCAGAATAAAAAAAATTAAAGGTATATGCGAGGGTTTAATAGCCCTGCAAAACACAGTAGTATAGTAGAAGCTATTGGGAGCTATAAGGTTGATATAGTAGCCATTTTAGAGACTAGAGTTGATGAAGACAAGGTAAAAAAAATGGTTGAGTTATTTCCTGGTTAGCGTGAAAACTACCCTTTTGTGCTTCAAGACAGCTCTCATTTCTATGTTCATGGTCCCTTATTGGGGGAAGGAACTGATGCAACTCACTTTTGTCTATGGTTCTAATAATCTCAGTCGTCGAGCAGCCATGTTTCAAGTTCTAAAGCAGCGAATAAACAAGGATATACCTTGGATGGCAATAGGTGATTTCAATGCAATTATTCAGGCTAGTGAATCTTCTAACCCTGTTGATCATAAAGTAGTAGGTCAATAGTTTACCTGGACTAAGAAACAAGAAGGAATCCCATTTCAAAAAAGACTTGACAGAGTTCTTGTGTCTGAAAGATGGTTAGCTGGTTTTCCAAGGACTTCAATAAAGTCTCTTCCCCCATGTCTCTCGGACCACTGTGGCCTCCTTCTGTGTACAGATTCTGGATTGAAATCTTTCCAAAACCTTTCAAATAATTTAGTTTCTGAAAATCTCACTCACAGTATGCAACTTTGGTGGAAGATGGGTGAAGGTGCCCTGCTCGCGGCTCTGCAAATGCAACAGTTGTATATCTAACTCAGTGAAATTATACTGAGACTCAAAAAGCTCAATAGGGTTCACTAATCAGAAATCCATGAAAGAGTGAGGCAAGCACTATTGGAGTTGGAGTTAGTTCAGTAGGAAGTGTTGGAGCGCCCTACCTCCTCAATATTCTAAGCTGAGAAGAGGTGTCCAGCTTCGTGAACTAATGAAGGTTGAGGAACAATTCCTCAAACAGAAATCTAGACAGATGTGGGTCAACAGTGGTGACTCAAATACTAGTTTCTTTCACAGTATGGTTAGAACCAGAATCTCAAGAAGCACTATCACCCAATTATTTATAAAAGATGGTAGAGTACTCGATGACCTGTATGAGATTGGACAGGAGGCAGTTGGTTTCTCCAAAACTCTTTTGAGACTGGCCAACTCTTCTTTGAAGCACGTGACAGTACATACTTTGAAGAGTCTTATCTATCACCAGTTTCCCTCTGAGTCCTCTATTTGATCAGAGGTCACTACTGCTGAAATTGTAGGGTGGTAAAAATAATGAAAAGAGGCAAAGCCTCAGGCCCAGATGGCTTTTCCACAGAATTATTCAGGATAACTGGAGCCTGGTTGGCTCTGGAGTAATATACAGGCTATCCAGGATTTCTTTCGTACAGGCACTTTACGGTGTAAGGTAAATTGTACTATTATCACTCTCATCCCCAAAATTCCTAATGCTAGCTCAATGAAGTTCTTTCGACCTATGTCCTGCTGCAACTTCATCTATAAATGCATCTCAAAGGTCTTAGCTAATCGTTTGAAAGAAGTAATGCTTCAGATCATTAGTCCTAATTAATCAGACAGCGTATATCCAGGGACGACTAATTACATACAATATTATACTTGCTCATGAAATGGTTAAGTGGTAAAAGCGAAAGAATGTATCATCACATTGTGCCCTTAAGATAGACATCATGAAGGCCTTTGATAGTGTGGATTGGAGTTTCTTATATAGTGTTATGCTAGCAATGGGGCTGCCAGTTCAGTTTGTCAAGTGAGTGCAGGGTGTCTAGAATCTACTAGTTTCACAATCTATCTTAATGGTGGATTAATGGGCAATTTTCCTGCTAAAAAAGGTCTTAGACAGGACTGTCCACGGTCTCTTTATCTTTTCTCTATTAGCATGGAAATACTTAGTTGCATGTTGAATAGAGGTGCAGCTCGAGCATTACTTCCCTATCATCCTTAGTGTCTCATAATTGGTCTTACCCGCCTCTGGTTACTGATGACTTACTGATTTTCACCAAAGGTTCAGTGGAGGCAGTGAGTACAATTGATTAGATCTTGAATAAATTCTATCTAGTTTCTAGATTAAGATGCAATCCTTCTAAAAGTGAGTTTTTCAGTGCTGGTGAGTCTGTAGAAACACGAGCTGACCTGGCTAGGAGTTCAAGGTTTAATGAAGGTGCTCTTCCAGATCGTTATCTGGGTGTTCCTCTGAATGCAGAGAAGTTAAAAGCAGCAGATGGTAGGGCTCTTGTGGATAAAATCACTAATCGGATAAGGGGTTGGCAATCCAGGCTCTTGACATATGCAAGATCCAATTAGCAGTAGCAGTATTGGCCAGCATCACTCAATTTTGGATGAACATTATACAGCTACCAAAATAGTAGTTAGGGTGGTGTAAAGACTATGTTCAAAGTTTCTGTGGGGTAATCTGGAGCATGTTAGAAAGGCTAAAGTAGCCCTGAAGCATGTAGCTCTACCAAAGCAAGAAGGTGGGCTAGGTTTCAAGGACTAATGGTCATGGAATCAGACATGTTTAATTCGGCATATCTGGGCTACACTTGCTGACCAAGAGACACTATCGATCGCATGGCTGAAGGGGTACAGGCTGAGGAATCTTAGTATTTGGGAAACACAGACTAATTGCTCTTGGGTATGGAATAAGATTCTTAAGCTCAGACTTCTTGTCAGTTCTCATCTAACAAAAACAGGAAATGGGGTTGAGTGGGATGGCTCTCTCATGGATCGGTTCAGCATCAGTAAAGTTTGTGACACAATCCGTCCAAGAAAGGATGTGGTTCCCTGGTCCAGGTTAATTTGGAAAGGACCTCTGCTTCCTAAGAATTCTCTGCTAGCATGGATAATTATAAAAGATCGAATTACCACTCTGGATAAAATCAAGAAATGGAACCCTAA